CTGCCCCCGGGGCCGGCAGCGCCGTGAGCCGCCAGCCCGAGCCCCGCTCCCGCAGCCTGGAAGGCGGGAGATCACAGCCTCGCTGCACAGCGGGGGCACCTGGGGTCCCCCCTTAATTAAATCACAGTCTGAACCCCATGGTGCAGCAGGTAATTACAGAGAGCGGGTGTCCCCCAGAGAGCCCTGGTCTTTTGGGGGATGGTGGCAAGCACGGGGGTGCCATGGGGTGCATACCCCACTGCTGCCCTGGCCCGGGGGCACCCCAGCCGCTGTCCCGGGGGAGCTGGGGCCCAGAGCCAGGCAGGGACAGTGACAGCGCCCCGTGTCCCAAGAAGGGTCGCCCAGGGAGCGCCTGTGCCCTGCCACGCTCCCCCAGGGTCAGCCAGTCTCCCAGCCCTGCCACCGTCACCCCCACCCCAGGCCTCCCAAAGCACACATCCGAGGGACAGTGGCAGACACTTGATGGGTCTCCTGAGCCTGGTGGGAGGGACTGGAGATGTGCCATGAGAGCAACATGTCAAGGAAAGGATGTATTTCTTCCCCAAAAGAGGGGGCACCCACCAGCCTGTGGTAGGCACTTCAGAGCTCCTAAGAATCACCTCCAGCCTCTTCAGGGAACCAGGGCAAGAACAAGAAACATCTGCATCCTCTTTTCATACTCTTTTCAACACTCAACACGCTCAGGATGACTGGAAACAGAGCGAGAGCAGTGGTTAGTGACGGTTGCTGCTGCTTGTAAGCAGCACACGCCTGCTCCTGCCAACCGAATGCAATTTCAAATAAGCCTGCCCACGCCAGTGCTACCAAATCCTCCTCGCTGCATCAGGTTTGGTGCCTCCATCCTGTGCCCCAGGAAGGACAAACTAAAGGCCTGGGCTGTCCAGAAGAGCATCTGCTCTGCACAGGGCCAGAGTCCCTTGTCCCCCAAGAGCAGGTCCCTAGAGGAAGAAGGTGCTGCTTCCTCTCTGCTCCAGCTGCAGCCCCTTCTGACTGCCTCTGACGCAGTTTCAGGCTGAAATCGGGGCAGCTTGCAAAACCCCAGAAGGTAGATTACATCTCTGGTGTTCCTGATCTGAGCAGGAAGCAACAAGGTCCACATCAGCACTTTAAGAGGATGTTGCACTGTTGAACTTGCACTTAATTGCCCAAAACAACTGGCGAGAGAATACTGGAGCTGTACTGGGAGGCAGGCAGCGGCAGGCAGAGGCTCTGGGCTGCAGCAGTGGTGGGATGTCAAACTGCATCTCGGCAGCAGCCTGCAGTCCCTTCCGCAGTGCAGTCAGTCTCGGCCTCCCACACCACGAGCAGTAAAGCAGAGGGGGTTCCCCCAACCCCACCACTAGGAAAGAGGGACCACCTCATCCAAGTGACAATATAATTTTGTTTATTTTCCTTTAACACACTGCTGGTTAAAACTGCCAGACAGTAGATTTCAGAACATTCCCTCAACCAAACATCCTGGGGAAATCAAAAAATAAAACCGCTACCATGTACCAAAAATAAAATAACCCACCCGCACACCCATCTTTTCCCCCAGACTAGTCCTTGCAAAGCCAATGCAATCAGAAATAGACATCTGTGCTTTTCACCCAGGGCCCAAGCTTGCTGCAAAACAAACTAAAAAAAAAAAAAAGTCACTGCAAGTTATAACACAAAGCAATGGACAGTAAAATAAAACAAAAAAAATCCTCCTTAAAAAGCCTTTGTACTGGCGACCAGTACAGATGGAGATGTCTCCCCACACTGTTCAGCCTTTACAGACAACTTAGACCTGCAGCTTCAAGTAGTTTGTGACATGTCCTTAACGCCAACAGCACGCGTCACTTCCACGCGTCCCAGCCTACGCAGCCAGGCACTATGGAGCAGTGGGACCATTTGCCAATGCTAAAAGCTGCTACGCCGATGGGACCCAACCATCACTGTCACCTGCCCAGCATCTCACAGCCCTGGCTGCTGCCTCCGGGCACGAAGTACAAATCCTGCCTCTGCTCTCACATTCTCCGGGGCTGCTTTACCAACCTGGCTGCTTCCTGAGTGGGAAAGCCCTGAACACACGAAGCCCCTGCAAAAACTACAAAAAATTCAAGCCCCTACTTGCCAGCAAGTTTCCAGATGCTGCCTCACTCCAGCAGCCTAGCTCAGGAGCTGTTATAGGGTGACAGAACAGCCGTGGTAGCATAGGCAAGCACATCCCCGCTACACGTGACTGGGAACAACTCCAGGGCAGAGATCCTGCGTTTCCTAGATTCACACTCTCCCCAGTTAAACTGGTTCAAGCTGTACTTTGTCCCTTGCCTTGAAGTCTCCATCACATAAGCTCTTTAGCAGGGATCTCTAATGCTTGCAAAAGATTATTCACATTTTTCTAATCAGCCAGCACTGTTTCTAGGAGGATAGAAAGCACTTCTGTTTTGTTGATTTATTTTTTTTTTTTTTAATAAAGCACTTCTTGGGGGAAAAAAAAATCAAAACCTATCAATAACCTGCAGTAGCACCCCACTGATCAGCCTGGGGACAACACCACCACATCCCTCCCCCTCCCACATCTTCCCCTCAGTCTCCAAAAATAGTATTTAATATACAGCAATAAACTCTGAGCAAGCCAGAGTCCCGGAAGACATGGACCTGCTTTCACCTCTCTTGCCCAGCCCAGCACCATTTCAATGTGGTTGCTTTCATACTCCTGGGACAAATCCATTCAGATCCAAGGTGAAACACACATGCTCCAGCCCCGCTGGGCAGCGTGCGAAGCAGGGGTGCAGCACAGGAGGCCTATTTGTGCAATCACATCTCAGCCTTCACAGCTCCAGCCTGATGTTGTGTTTGTGCCGTTGAGAATACTTGTCTGAGCCTATTTGGGACTAGCCAGTGAAGACAGACTGGTGGAACCAGGCTGACGTTAAAAAAAGCATCCTTGAATTGTATTAGACTTTGGCATTTGTTGTGGAGATGCAGAAGCGCCAGTAGGTAAATTAGCTCAGTGCTGGCCCAGCTCCCATTTCCCTTGGATTCTCAGCAAGGATATTTTCCTCCCTGCCATACAAGCGCAAGAAGCAGACGGATCTCTCCCACATTTGAGCACCAAACAGAGCCTGATACACTTGGTACTTCGCAGCTGCTCAGAATCTGCCCCATATCAAAGGCTGAAGTTGCTCTGCTGGTCCTCTCCCTCCTCCTGCTGTTTTCCATCAGACAGCCCTGTTCAGCCCAGACTTCCCATATCAAGACATTTCCCTGGCTGTTGCAATCCCATATCAACTTAAAGGAAGGCCAAGGGACAAAGAATGGATCTCTGCTCCCTGTTGAGACCCAAATAGTGTAGGGCAAGCCTTCAGCAAGCAAGTTTGGGGGGCAGGACCCCCCACGCCACACTCTGCACCCAGAAGCTGTAAGCACCATACAACTACCAGGACCCAGCTGAGACTCACTCGGCCCTGAACTGCACAGACACACAGGCACCAGACTGTCTGGAAGTTCCCCATCCTGCCTTCAGGAGATTTCTGGGTGAGACCAGACCTGAAGGAGCTCTTCCAGTTCTTCCATTCCCTGCTAGGCTTTTTTTCCATTGACCTCAAGGGCTGGAAGTAAAGATACTCGCATTTCTCTGCTTCAGCTGTGGCATCCAGGGACAGTGAGACAGTCCCCAGCTGATCACAAGGGCAGGGAATGCCTGTCCCTTGGGGAAAAACAACTCAGAAGCTCCTTTAAAAAAAAAAAAAAAGAAGCTTCTTCAAATAGACTTTTATTCAAAGCCTGAGACAAAGGCACCAAAAATAGACAGGAATTCATTTGGCTTTCTGCTCACTGCCACCTGGGATACTCAAAAGGGTCAGAGCTGTTGTTTTAGTCACACACACGGAAGGGGAAAATGGCCTGGCTTAAAGCTACAAAAGGAAGAGCTGATGTGGGGGTAATTAAAATACGCTTTGGAACCACTACCCTGAGGCTGGATCCAGGCCCAAAACATTATCGACGGTGTCATCTCCCCTTTATTAAGTGGAAGCTTTATTAAAATTGCGTTATCTGCCCCTCTCTACACAACTGCTCCATGAATCAAGCCAGGGTCTTTTCTGACCCAGCTCCCCACACTGCTGCATAGGGACATGCGCTTCATCTGCCTGCTGCTGGCTGGAGGCAACAAAGCACAAACAGGCTTGTCTCTAACTGGTCTCTGTTAAACAACATCTTGGATATTTTATCAGACACCCATGCTGGAAAGCTACAGCCAACCCAAACTTTTTCTTTCCCTCTTCAGGACCAGGTATCTCATTACACCCATCTGGCTGCCTTGCGGGTGCCAGACAGAGATGACAAGGGGAACCAGCCTAAGAACGGCATTCACAACAATGCTGACGGGGTATCCCCTACCACCCCCCTGTGCTCCCACACACTTTGCTTGAAGGCTCCTTCAGGGGCAACCTGAGAGAAGGACCAACAGGAGAGGATGGACCAACAAGGAAAACTGCTCATAACACCATAACCAGGCTCAGGAACCTTCCAACCACCCAGACACCAGTTTTGTAGTGACAAAAATGGAAAAGAACAGAGCCAAAACATCTAAATTGAAGCCATGAAGAATGAACTATTCCTCCTCCCTATTCTTATTCAAATAAGACAAATTCATTCAAACTGAGAAACTGGAACACAACAGATCACACCCTGCACAGCCTTGCCTTAGGTTGGCTGATGGCACCAAATGGGTGCCCTGGCTGCCAGGAGAGGCAGGGATAAACTATCCTAGAAGACTTGTCTCCAATTTTTGCACACCTAAATGCACACCTCTTTTCTCATGCTAAGCAAGGTGCAGAGATTACTGGGTGAGCCACAAGAGGCTAAGTGATTCCCTGCTTCAAGGATGCTCAAATAAAATGCAACCTGAAAGGCCTGGAGGAGAGCAGCTCCTTACAGAGAAGCTTGCTTTCAAGCCCAGGTTCTTTGCTTAACAAATCAGCAGAGCTCATCCTTCTAAAAACTGATAAATATCTAAATGTCTCTGTGCTCCAGTTAGAGCAATCCCAAAAACACTGGAGAATCTCTGCAGGCACCATCACCGAACAAAACAGAGTTCCTATTTTATAGGAGATTTATAAGTACTAGGATTTTAACAGCAGCTAGAGGACAAAGCAGACAACTTCAAGCTTACTGCCTTTTCATCCTAACATTTGTTCTTAAGATCTGCTCTCTCTAAAGCCTGTCTTCTTGGGGTGTGGCTTCTCTCAAACTGGCTGTTACCACTTGTACAATTGGAGAGAAGGTAATTAAGGTCCTACTGCTTTCTTTTTAGCTCACAGACACAGAATTAGGGTGAGGCCTATAGCAGAAAGGCAAGGTTCAGTGCCACTGCTGTGCAGAGCACTGCTTTGACACCTCCCCCAGCTCCCCTTCTGGAGCTCATGAGCTGACAGCTCGTATCACAGCTTGAGGGTTAGGAGGAATAGAAAGCTTCAGCTGCTTGGGCCCAACAGAGCAGAAAGGCTGCTCCTCTGGTTTCCTTTCCGGAAACTAGGGAATTCTGCTGACCCTTCTTAGCTCAAAGAAAGGCTGAGCCACTGCAGGGGTTCAAACCTAAGAACAACCGCTAGGAAAACTCAGGCCCAGGGAGGAGCAGCAGCAAGGAGGACACTGCCTCAGTGCAGCTGCTCCAGGTAAAGAGAGAGCACTTCTGAGAACAGAGGTAGCATGAGGTAAAGTGTTCTGTGAGCCCAGAGCTCACCAGGATCGAAGCTGACCCGCGAGGACCCAAACATGCCTGGGCCAGATCCTCCTCCGGCACACAGAACATCTCCCTCCCACCAGCCAGAAGTGCTCAACTTGTCAAGTTGAGAAGTTGGGAAGGCAGCTCCTTGGGGCCTGCAGCTCTGGATCAGCAGGTGCAGCGAGGGCTTTTGCTCTGCTCAGCCTCTGTCAGGCGGGCACAGGCTCTGCATGTGGAATCAGAAGGCTCTTGCAGAAATATCCCTGGGGGAAGTGAGCGACCTTGTCTCCAGTGTTCTGCTCACTTCCAGATCTCTGGAGGGCAACAAACCACCTTGCTCTACAGTACTGAAACGTTGGACATCTGCCCCTTCACCACAGTGCCTGCTGAGCAAAAGGCCGAGCTAACTGAAGACACTAACTAACTCCACTGCGCTTCTCACCGCTTGCAGGCAGGCCTGGTCCCTACGACAAGGAATGAAAAGCTCACAGGGAACATCTGTGTGGTTGCTCTTCTGTCTTACAGCATAGGTTGTTCACAGTCATGGGG